ATCCCGTTTAGCTCAGTTGGTAGAGCGCAGGACTTTTAATCCTGTGGTCGCGGGTTCGAGCCCCGCAGTGGGAGATCCTTTTTCCTCCTTTTTACGTGGTATGGACAATAGAAGGGTGTCTTGCCAGCCCCAACCAAGCTCTTGTGTGCATGGAAAACGCAATCCAACGAATCTGGTGCATGTCAAATTGAGTGGAAGGTCTGCCAAGAGCCTCCACACTAACCTACTTCACAAGCGTCACGGGGAAAAACAAATAAGGAGGGAATGCGAATTCCACTGAACGCGACTACACTGTATAGTCTGTTTTTTCCTTCCACATATTCACATTGCACGACCTGTCAACACCGCCATGATATCGACGCCTTAACAAGTTTTGGAATCTGCGCGAACTCTGTTCAACGATTCGTCTTGGCCTCTCTTGCACAGTTTTGTGGATACATGACAAGATGAGTGGCTGCATGCACCGGATTCTCAACAAGCACGAGTGTTACGTCCTACGTAATGGGGGGCAATGCCGAAAACATCGAGAGGGACAGGCCAGTCGCGAACGTCAAGGCTCCCGCAGTGCAAACCGTATGAGCGAACCACCGCGCCCATGTCAACGTAGTAGTCTACATCTGCAAAGGCTGGACTAGAGCTCGCGTTTGCGAAGGGGAAGAATTGCGCCGATAGTTCTGTTCACACCACAGGTGATCGCCGACGGTGTCTCTCATTGTAACTCACTGCTCTCGAGACAACTCAGTGTTGGCCCTGGCCTCCACATGGCAAGAGGTATACAAATTTCAAGACAACAGCAGTCAACGCCCGCGACCGATGGCTAAAAAAACGTGTTTTTGCATCTACTATGGCGCCAAGAGTAAGCATGTTGGCACCCAAATGTACGGGTAAATTGGCACGGCGGCAGCCACATTGGGTCGTCCAAACATCGCGCAATGGACGCCCCTGTGACGACTTGGTCTCGTTTAGGATTGGGCCAGCGCCGCGTGCGCAGTGGCGCTCGCGAAGGTATCGTTTGGGTTGCGCTGTTGAGGGGACTGTGTCAAGCTGACGACAGTGGCGCGATAAAACGCATAAAACGTCCTGTCAGGCATTACCTGCGAAAAGTGCATGCGAAATGACGCGTTTTGATTGGACCAGCCGACGTCGACGCCAGATCTGACCAATCAAATGCGACCATGATGTACCCATCATACCCGACCTGCCACGCGCCAGTGTTGGATTTTCTCCTCAACGTCCAAACCGATGAAGCCGTCGATGCCGCCGATTCTGCTGTCGGAAGGTCGCAAGGAAGAGCTCTTGGCCGAGATCGACCCGATGATTCAACCCCTTCTCCAGTCCATGGTCCCAAGTGGCGACAAGTGGGAAATGAACTTTGTCCGCAATGGCGTGACGTGCTACGACAGTTTGCGTGCAGACCCGTACTACCGCCTCTGTCTTTCCACGGCAGTTGTGCGGTCGTCTTTGGATGCTGCCATGAGCGCACTGGCCACGGACACGACGTCGTCACTCTTACGCGCCGAGAACGAAAGCCTCGGCGACCGTGTCTCGAACGCGTCCGTGATCTGCCCCCTCCGTCCTCGCACTCGAAAGTCACAGCAGCACTACGTTGGCGTCAAATGGGTATCGTACAGCATCAACAATTACCAACAGTTCGACATGGTGTTTTGCGATGCAGTCGGTGTCGGTGTGTCGCCCTCCTCGGGGCGCAGGTTTGGGTATCGCATTATCCGATCCATTTCGATCCCGGAATGTCCTACTTTGTCGCCCATGCCGCGCGGACATGTTGTCTTCAACGTCATCAAGTTTAATGAAACGGCTGAAGCCAATGTGCTGGACATGCAGGTCTCGATCAACCTCCTCTGCGATGATGTTGCGTCGCTCTCTGGCATCTTCGACCCTTACCCACAGACGACGCGCCTCCGCGTGTACATTGAGTCGTACTTCCGGAAAGGGTTCACCCCGCCGCCGCGCAAGAGTACCCTTCTAATCCCACCGCTTTCGCTCATGGGAGGCCGCAGCAGCAACGTGTTCATTGACCAACCGAAGAAAGCTTCACATTGTAACCTGTGCCGAAAGAAGTTTCACTGGTTTCGCCGTCGCTACGGATGCAGCGAATGTGGCAACGTCGTGTGCAGTTCGTGCACGGAGCAGTTCAGGGTTGGCGCTATCCGACGCAAGGTGTGCCTCGTTTGCCGATGCACTACCACCGCCGATGCAACAGCCCATCATTCAGTTGCCCGTTCGCCGACCTCCATGCCGCATTACGCGCCGGTGTCGTACCCAATGTACGACTCAGAGCCGTCCCCTATCTACGACATTCGCACGAGTCTCTGGTCGCCACGATCCCCGCGCCATTCGCAGTTCGATCGACCGTCGTTGTCGGAAAACTTGGGACGGTCGTCATTCCAAGTGTCGCCATCGATGCACAAAATGTTCACCTCGTCCCGTGGGGCAGGCGACATGAAGTTTGATCGTACGGTTGGACTTCCATCGACCCCCTTGAAGACGCACTTCAAACCGTTTGAAGACAAAGTCCTCGTGGATCAAATCAACCGACAGAGCGTCCAGAGCACCCCTGTCCAGTCCCTGCAGCAGTGGAATCCTGTCGACCTCACTGCACGGAATTCCATGTCTGGCCAGCGCGATTCGTTCACGTGTAAACTGCGGAAGTCCTTGTCGGCAGGGTTCAGTTAGTATTGGTAGGAGGGTCGTCGTGGGTGGTGTAATATATGAGCTTGAACGAGTTCACACCTGTTGATCTTGCCTCCCCCGACCAGCAACTCGACGTTGTGCTGTCTCCTTCGCTGTCGGATAGTGTCTGCTGACGATACTCCCTCAAGCAAAGGTACATCGTGATGAAGCAAGCATGTCATTGCGCGTCCATGTTCCTCCATCCCACGGCGCAGTTCTTCGAACATGGAAACAACGCAAAATGTCGACCTTAATTAGACCGTGGTTTTATTGTTTAACGCAACTGCTCCACAGACCAGGACACGGGTCAAAGTTCATATTTTCTATAATCTAATACTCGATGAAATATTGAAATACAAGGATAAGTACTCGTCGTTGATTGGAGATGAATGGAATGTCAAACAACGACGTTGCCTGTCGCCAACGCATCCGCGTCACTTCAAAAATGAAAGTTGATATTGACAAGTGGAGAATATATCCTGAAATGACATTGATTTCCGCGTCCGAATGGGCCAATTCCTGGAGGAGTATTTCTCAAGATCGTTTTGGCCCTCTCCATTCCAGAATTTCAGCGGCCCCCAGCAACCACTGACCGCACCCGCCGTCCACAACACTACACCGAGCGCGACAGCCACCGAGCGGTATGACCCAGCGACTGTCGATCTATACTCATGTACAATCGGTCCATCATGCTAGGCAAACCGCGTCCTCCGGCACATGCGAATTTTAGCCAATCATACCGCGGTGGACGATCTGGAATAATAATGCCTCACGAACGGTCAACTTGGACGATCGTGAGAAAAATTTCCATTCTCTGGACGATCTTGACAAATACCCTTCCAGATGACCAGTTTGAACATTTTTATGTCTATTTTTTATACTGCATGATTGTATGAGTATTTCGACCATTTGACGAACATAAATGGGAAAAGTAGTATACGAAGAGGATGAAACCCGACAACACTCGAAACCGGGCAGAGCACAATCGAGTGTCAATAGAAACCCGGCGTTGGGTGGGCACGATATGTAAAAGAATCGAAGGGGTCGTGCGCTTAAAACCCTGTCCTTCGAAGCGCAATTCAGGTTTATTCACTTTAACGTCTTGTTCAGCAACTTTCACTTCTGCTCGAGCTGTGCATCGGGCGGGTAAACTCGTAACCCGCCCATGAAGTCAAAGCGAGACCACCTCAACGACG